AGCTTAAGGATTTAGGGAAAGATCATGCCAGAGAGGATCTGAGCTCTGAGCAAAGACAGCTGAAGCTCCTTCCTGTATTTCTGAGCCTATATATTGGGCAGGATCTTCCCCATACCTGAATTGTCTTTCTTATCTAAAGCTATCAGGCCCTTATCCTTCCCTTCTTCATTAATTTCCTTTCTGAGTGATTTCTTCAGTGAGGAGATCCACAGATGGCTTTTTAGCCTCAGTGCTAACTTACACAACCTCAAGTACCACGTACCTCTCAGCTTATGTGTATTGTCGTGTCAACAGTTAGCTATTATAATTTTTCCTTGGGAAGTTTATTTTATTTACATGCTTATTTGTAGGTCTGTGTTGATGTCTGTAAGCTCTTAGCAAGCAAGAAAATATCTGTTTAACTCGTTTTGTGCTCTCCGTAGGTGTATTCTAGTAAAACAGACATTCGTAAGTGCTATTCCAGTAAAACTCTTGTGATGGTGATATATATGAAAACTGTTCCAATAACCTGATTTCTTGTTGAAGCTGTTAAGGATCTTTATCCTCTAATTACTGATTCTTTTTCTTGTTTTACTCGTAGTGTCGGGTAATGCGAGGCCTTAAAGGAGCTCATGGGAAAATTAACGGTCAGTCCTTGGGCTATGCCTTTGCAGAGTTCCAGGAGCACGAGCATGCCCTGGCAGCCCTACGCCACATCAACAACAATCCAGAAATCTTTGGGCCTCAGAAGGTGAGCCTCATCCTGTGCGGGGGAACATGTTCCTCTGAGGGCCATTTGCGGAAAACCCTCTGACGTTTGTATGGTGGGTAAGAGTGGCAAGGCGTTGGAGGAGTGATTGGTGATTCAGGTGATAAGATGATTAGAAGGAACACTAAACTGAATAGACTGCTTGCAGAACTGGCCCCTTGCATTTAAGTAGAGTGAAGTGAGTAGCATCATCTGACTTGCAAGAAAGAGGGTAGTGGTGGGACGATATCTCAGCTCATTGCACACAGAGATTAAGAAATCTAATGAATGACTTTCTGTCCCCTTCTGCCACAGAGACCAATAGTGGAGTTCTCTTTGGAAGATCGAAGGAAACTTAAAATAAAGGAACTGAGGATCCAGCGCAGCCTGGTACAGAACTGAAATGTTTTTTCTGTCTTTGTCTTTTTTGTTTGTTTGTTTGTTTTTAATTTTTATTTATTTATTTTTGGCTGTGTTGGGTCTTTGTTTCTGTGCTAGGGCTTTCTCTAGTTGCGGCGAGTGGGGGCCACTCTTCATCGCAGTGCGCGGGCCTCTCACTGTCGCGGCCTCTCTTGTTGCGGAGCACAGGCTCCAGACGTGCAGGCTCAGTAGTTGTGGCTCACAGGCCTAGTTGCTGCACGGCATGTGGGATCTTCCCAGACCAGGGCTCGAACCCGTGTCCCCTTCATTGGCAGGCAGATTCTCAACCACTGCGCCACCAGGGAAGCCCCTGTCTTTGTTTTTTAAATTGTAGTAGTATACACATAAACTTTACTATTTTTAAGTATACAGTTCAGTTAAAACAAAATTTTCTGGGGGGCCATATTTAAACTCCTGTTTTGTGCAGTTTGTGGTTCTGCTCCCTTAAAGTAGGTCTCTTCCTCATTAGGTTCTTTGTTACCCTTTACTCTTAGTTTCCTAGAACTCTGCAGGCCATCTCTCCTCTGCTGGCCTGGCTTGTGATAGCTCCACAGAACGGGGAGGAAGGAGAGAGGAGAATCAAACTGATGTTATTACCAATCAGCAGTGCTTGTACTGCAGTGTTTGGTGATGGTACGTGTCAAAATTAATAGCCAGGGTTAAGTTTTACATTACCTGTAGATTTCAGCTCTCTCTTCCATAATTCTGTTTTCTTCTTAGATGGCTCCAGAAGTGTGGTGCCTGATAGTTTTAGTACTGTTTTTAATCTAATGTAGTATAGAGGAAAGAACAGGGACTTTGGGAACAAGAATATTCATGTTCAAACTCAGGCTCTGCCCCTTTCTGAGTTCCTTGGCAAGTTATTACCTCTCTCAGCTTCAGTTTCTAGTTTGTAAAAATAGAATTAACATCATCTGTGTTACATGGTTGATGAGGATTAAATGAAGTAACGCATGTAAGTTGTCTCGCATACTACACAGTCATTACTCACTCTCACCCATCTTGCCGCAGGACATAGAAGGCCAGCTTGACACCATAACTCGTACAGATCTCATTGATATTATACCTTAACTTGCGTATATACCAAACATTTGCAGTGCTTTGGTGTCTTTATGTTGTATATCATGAGCATGACTTTTATTTATTTATTTATTTTTGCTGCATTGGGTCTTTGTTGCTGCACACAGGCTTTCTCTAGTTGCGCCAAGCAGGGGCTACTCTTTGTTGCAGTGTGTGGGCTTCTCATTGCGGTGGCTTCTTATGTTGCGGAGCACAGGCTCTAGGTGCGCGGGCTTCAGTAGTTGTGGCACGTGGTCTCAGTGGTTGTGGCTCGCGGGCTCTAGAGTGCAGGCTCAGTAATTGTGGCGCACGGACTTAGTTCATCCGCGGCATGTGGGATCTTCCCAGACCAGGGCTTGAACCCGTGTCCCCTGCATGGGCAGGTGGATTCTTAACCACTGCTCTGCCAGGGAAGCCCTGAGCGTGACTTTTAGAGGAGCAGTATCAGTGGTTAATACAATGGCCCTGGGTTGGAAAAACCTGAGTTCTGGTTATTATTCAAGGCAGCTTTATTACTGTAGTTATAGAATTATTTACTGCCTAAGTCAGAGGTGATTCTGTAGCTACTGGCTTAAAAAAAAAATTCAGGTGGCCTTATTTGTTGCCTGCACTTAATGTACATACTGATCTCTCTGTGTAAAAGTATTCCTCTCCCCTGACTCAAGGATACTCTACTCAGTTTCCATACTCATATTCCACAAGTAGCGTCTCCCCACCTCTCTCAAAAGAGATAAGACTTTATTACTTGTACTTCATGAAGTTCCGTAAACTTCTTTTTAGTTTTTTACTTTGTGAATGTCTCTTTTCTCCACTGGGCTGTGAGTGCTAAAAGGTAGACACTTCATTCTGTCCATCTGTACCCTTACCACTTAGAGACTGGCACATAGAGGCATATAATAGATCTTTGTTGTGTCAGTGTGCCTATCTAGATTTCTGAGGTGAAAAGGAAAAAATAACATTATTATTACTACATTAATTTCACATGAATCTTCTTTTTCTTCCCCCACTTCAGTGCAAAATAAATCTGTAACATACTTTGTCTTCCTTCTCATGTCATATTTTCCTTATCTTCATTTCAGTTATCTTTTCTCTAATGTTTTTCCTTTCTCTATATGGATTCGAGTTTCTGACGTGTCATTTCTTCTCCCTTAATACATTCATTTAGTATTTCTTGCAAGGCATGTCTACCAGTGATAAATTTCTTTAAAGTTTTCTTTTTTTTGGCCTCACTGTGCATATTGTGGGATCCTAGTTCCCCAATGAGGGCTCGAACCCGGGCCCCCGGCAGTGAGAGCACTGAGTCCTAACCGTGGACTGCCAGGGAATTCCCAGATTTCTTTAATTTTTGTTTGTCTGAGAAAGTTTTTGTTTTTCCTTCACTTTTGAAGGATGATTACACGGGTAAAGCATTCTAAGTTGGTGATTTTTTTCCCCCAAACTTTAAATATTTCCTTCTATTCTCTTCTTGCTTATATGGTTTCTGAAGGGAAATCCAATGTAATCTTTTTTTTTTTTTTAATCCAATGTAATCTTAACTTTGTTCCTCTGTAGGTAATGTATTTTCCCTACCTCTGGCTTCTTTCAAGGTTTTCTCTTTGATTTTCTGCTGTTTGATATGATATGCCTAGGTGTACTTTTTTCTTTTTCTTTTTTTTTTAATATCCTGTTTGGTTTTTGGCCTGGATCTGGTTTAGTGTCTGTCCTTAAGTTTGGAAATCCTTAGCTCTTATTACTTCAAATATTTCTCTTCTTTCTTCTCATTCCCATTATACATTTGTTACACCTTTGGTAATTGTCCCATGCTACTGGCCTATTTTCTACTGGCTTTTGCGTTTTGGACATACCTGTGCTTTTCCCCTATTTCTGCATGTGGAAAGGGAAATGGTTGTTTTGTGTCCCCCACCCAGTAACCATCTGTTACTATTTCAGGGCCTGTGAACTACTTGCATTCACTTTCCTATAGTCTAACTATTTGGGGGAAGAATTCTCCTTCTCTCACCAGCTCATTCCTCTTCTGAATATTTCCAGCAAATAAACCTCACCCAGTAACTAAATGACATTCTCTTGTCTTATACAGCAAAAAGTGAAATCCATGTCGGCAACTGGTGAGCAGCCCCAGCAAGAACAACCAGAGCTTGGAAAAAAACAGCAACAGAAAACAGCTCAGAACCACATGCATCAACAAAGCAAGGCACCCATGGAGCAGAAGGAGAAGGCAGGATCTGTCTCGTGGACAGGGTTCCAGACCAAGGCCGAAGTGGAGCACGTGGAGCTGTCTGATGGGAAGAAGCGAAGAAAGGTCCTGGTGCTCCCCTCACACCGAGGCCCCAAAATTAGGTGAGATGCAGGATGGCGGCTCAGAGGGTTTGTTTTGCTTCTTTTTCCTCTTTGTTTGGATGAAAGGGATGCTTGGTGTGCTCCAGTCCCGCATGAAGTATCTCTACACCAGCAGAGCCACTCCTGGACCAAATGGAGGCCGGAATAGGACTGGCGGAGGCGGCCTCGGAGGAGCCTTCCAGTGCGGGCTTTCATGCGATTTTTCTCTTCTGAAGAGCTTCCTCCTGTCCTGATGGCCGTCTCTGTCAGCTGAGGCCCATCTACTTGAGGTTTCTGTTTGGGACAACGGATTAGTGCTGTCAACAGAAGTCGATCTTGACAAAATTTTTGTTAAGTATATGAAGGTTTTTGAGATTTCCTTGAGGTTTTAAGCTAAAACAAAAAGAGAAGTATACAGATGTTGAGCCATAGGACATTCTGTTGCAGTATCCCTTTTTAGCATGATTTCTCATGGGCTTAGAAAGAGCCAGCGTAAGAAAAGGCATTTTATCTTTTGGGCTGAGAAAAATCTCAGAGGTCCCAATTAGAGGAGGAACTCAGGGTGACACTTGACCATATTGTTTCAGGTTACGGGACAAAGGCAAAATGAAGCCTCTCCCTCCCAAGAAGCCAAACCCCCAGATAAACCACTGGAAGCAAGAGAAGCAGAAATTATCTTCCAAGCAGGTAAGTTCTGTAGGCCATGAGGCTTTGGCATGGCACAGCTCTGCTGGGGTTGGCAGCCGCTTGTGCCATGATTAGTCGTGCAAAGGGAAAGGGCTTTGGGGCTTCCCTGGTGGCGCAGTGGTTGAGAGTCCGCTTGCCGATGCAGGGGACACGGGTTCGTGCCCCGCTCCGGGAAGATCCCACATGCCGTGGAGTGGCTGGGCCCATGAGCCATGGCCGCTGAGCCTACGTGTCTGGAGCCTGTGCTCCGCAACGGGAGAGGCCACAACAGTGAGAGGCCTGCGGACCGCCCAAAAAAAAAAAAAAAAAAAAAAAAGGAAAGGGCTTCTAGATTGCACTTATGTACAGGATTGCAGCTTTTTAGAGGATGTGGAGGTACACGGTCCTAAAAGTGGGGAGAATAATAAAACGAACCCCATGTATTGGTTACTCTGCTTCAACAATTATCTTGTTTTGCCTACCCCCCACCCCACCCTACCCTGTGAATATATTAAAGTGAATTCTTCTTCACTTGTAAATGTGCCTCATGTGGAAATGAGGCACATTGCTCAGAAAACTATCTCAGAATTCATCTCGAGCTGATCAGCCCTTAAACACACATATACCCAAACACATCTTATGCCATCATCACATCTAATGATATTAATAAGAAGCTCTTAATAGCTAATATGTAATCCATATTAAAACGTTCCCAGTTGCCTCAAAAATACATTTTTTAAGTTGGTTAGGATGAATCAGGTTCCAAACAAAGTCCACATGTTATACTCGGAATTTTATTTTGGCCATGCCCTGCAGCTTGTGGGATCTTAGTTCCCCGACCAGGTACTGAACCTGGGCCACGGCAGTGAAAGCACAGAGTCCTAACCACTGGACCGCCAGGGAATTCCTTATACTTCATTTTTAAATCTCTTAAATCTTTTTTTTCCCCCTATAATATCCAGTCTTCCTTACATCCACCCCCGCTTTTTTCCATGCAGTTAACTTGTTGGATAAGCCAGGTCCTTAGCTTTAGAATGTATTACATTTTGAATTTAGTTGCTTTCTTCCTTGTGCTGTCATTTAACTTGTTCCTCTAACACCCCATGTTGCCTACAAACTGGTTGTTAGATCTAGAGGCTAGATTAGATTCAAGATCAGTTTTCTTGGCGAGAGTATTTCATAGGTGGTGCTGTGTGCTTTCTGTTGCATTGCACCATAAGGTGCATAGTGTCTGGTTGCCCCATTTTTAGTGATGCTGTGATTCATCAGTAAGTTTAGGAATTGTCTACCTTATCCCTCCATTTGTAAAGTCCCCCATCAGCCTCCCACCTAAGGGTCTTAGCACCCACTGATGATTGCTATCTAGATCCGTATTTCAATACGAGTTGCAGAATGCTAGTTTTCTAATTTTATCAATGCTTTTGTGTTTTTTAAGAAGAATTGTAGAAAAAAAGAATCTTCCCTCGTCAACTGTTTGGTTCCCATGAAATATCATTTGTGTGGGAAAGGCAGGGTAGATGCTTGATTTTGTTCTTTTCCTTTTATCAGATTCCAGAGTAATGAGTTGTTGCCCTACCAACCTCCTCAGATGACCAGTACGATTTTTTTTAGTATTGTGAACTCCTGAGTTTTTATGTACTTGATGTGTTTCAGTCAGATGCAGTCATTATTCCTGTCCCATCTGAGGCCAGCAGAAGCCCCTTCAGGTTGACTCCTGCCTGAGTCCTTCTGACATGATCCTGTCTTTGATAGTGTCCTTACTTCCTAGTACAACTGGATGTCCCAACTTATCTATTTTTTCGTCAACCCTGGCATTAGCTTCCAAGGAGCCGTAGTTCTTTTTTTTTTTTTTTTTTTGGCGCTACGCGGGCCTCTCACTGTTGTGGCCTCTCCCGCTGCGGAGCACAGGCTCCTCCAGATGCGCAGGCTCAGTGGCCGTGGCTCACGGGCCCAGCCGCTCCGCGGCATGTGGGATCCTCCCGGACCGGGGCATGAACCCGTGTTCCCTGCATCAGCAGGCGGATTCCCAACCACTGCGCCACCAGGGAAGCCCGGAGCCCTAGTTCTTAATAGAAAGTGGTGGTCCTGCATTCTTGATCATTTGAAGTCAAATTTTCTTTTTTTCCTTGCCTAGTTCCTTTCTTTAAAGTGTACAAGAGCATTAGCTTCTCATCCTACTCAAGAAATCTGTGTCTCTGGGAAGCCTCTGACCCATCAGACTATCTTACAGAGCTCTCTTTGAAACCCTGTAATTCTTGGTGAGGGAAAGGGCAACAAGCAAGACCATCCAGACTTGGGGCTGTGACTCATCTTGGAGGAGATTCGTGTGAACATTTGGGAATTGAAGGGGGAGAGGCCTTTGAAACACGGTACTTTAGTGGGGCCCTTCTCTTAGGCACTCCTGGTCTGATTTCTTACCAGTGGATGATTCTTGCGGGGTCACTGTCTGGAAGTCCCTCTTGTGGCGGACAAGATCTCTGAACCTACTTTCTCCCTTGGCTGGCCTAAGGGTAAGATAATACTTAATGCTTGAAACCGATTATCTTATGTTTCCTTACCTTTCATTTGTAGGTACCTAGGAAGAAAGCTAAGGGAAATAAGACAGAAATTCGCTTCAACCAGCTGGTCGAACAATATAAGCAGAAGTTATTGGGACCTTCTAAAGGAGCTCCTCTTGCAAAGAGGAGCAAATGGTTTGACAGTTGATGATGGTAGCAGACTGGGTAAGAAGCTGGATTGTGTGCTTCTTGGTAAAGCCTCCCCGCCTCCCCCATGTCATTTACTGAGGGAAGGAAACTCCTTGAGTGCACTGCCACTTTGGGGCACTGCGACTGGGGCACATCTGAACTTTGGTCCCTCCCTCGTGTGTGGTTAGGTAACCACAAAGAGGAATCTCAGAAAAACATGGTGATGCTTCTTGCATATTTTGTTTGAAGCTATGTTTATAATTCTTATCCATTTTAATTCTCTGTTGCTCAAATGGAAACAATTATAAAAAGCATTCTTGACTGCTGAATTTTTAAGATGTATATTTTGTTAAGTGTCTTCTCTAAATGAGATATTTTGTGGCTTTTTGAATAACAGACTCTCGTTTCTAATATATGGGAATCCTTTATTATTTGTAAATGTTTTTGATATTCCTAACTCTAATTCAGGTATGTAGTCCTACATACTGCAGGAATCGATTAAGAAAGAGCAGAGAAACATGATTTCCAACCTAGTCTTTGAGGGTGAGAGAAACTTGGAAAGTAATTGAGGGCGTGGGGCCTGGCCAGGAGCAACACCTGAAAATTGCTTGCCAAATGAGTGGGTAATTGTTGGTAGTTAACTAGAAATCAGTTGGCAGTGGCCCACAGACACTAGCCTGGGTGGTGCTAACCTGCATTTCCTCTCTTCCAGCACCTCCTCCTGAGGACTCAAGAGAGGTGGTCGGTGGTGGAGAGAGCAGTGAGCATGGCCAGAGAAAGAGTTGGAAATACAGCACAAAGCTCTTAATTCCCCAGTCCAGTCTGGTGCCATAATAAGTGATGCTTTCTTCAGAACCATTGCTGACCTAGGGATATGGCTATTTCATTGCAGTATCTTGGGAAACCAATGAATGCTCAGAAATGCCCTTAATTGGTTTAAAGATGGGTAAAAGAGAGACCATGAAAATACTGAAACCTTTTGTAGAGAACTAAAGGACAGAGGCTGTATCTCCAGAGTTACCTTGAGACAGTGCGACTTGGGGAGTTCGAAATGTTGTGGCAGCAGCTTGGCAACCCATCAACCCTAGGATGGCCTGTACTCTGTGAGGGAGTCAGACACTTTATTAAAGGTGTAAATAGAAGATCCACAGCCTGCCTGGCCTCTGATCTGTTTTCCCTTGGCCAGCTGTCTGCTCACCAGACACTTTTTCCCGTAGTGTACAAATATCTATAAATTAACATTTAAAAATAATCTGAACATTTAGGATAGATAAAAATTGGGTTCATTTCAGATAGCTTTGCCAGATTTTCTTAGATCCAGATTTTTCTTCTGACAGGTATAGCAGCCCAGTATGTTTAAAACATCATTCAGCTGCTCGAAAAGTTACTGCACAGTTCTTTTCTTTTTTTTTGCCTTTATTTTATTTTATTAAATGATGTTTGAATCACTAAATTAAAAAATATATATTGCTGAACATTTACAATGACAATTTTGCATTTCTCCATATACTTTATCATATAATGATGTCATATGTTTTCTAAATTTCTTAAATCTATATTTAAGATACAACTATATAATAAAAATCCCAAGGAAAACAAAACTTAAACCTCAAAATTATTGTTCATCCCATTACTATTTAAGCTGCTCATTTTTGCCCATTAAAACTCCGTTTTTTACGCATGTTTACAAATCCACATACTAGTATCATTTTCATTTAAAAAGTCACTCCTTAATATATAACTTTCAGCATATGGTTATTTATGAATATAATTTTGCAAAAAATTATCTTATGTCTGATAGTTTACTTTTGAAACTATTTAGAAAGCTTAAAGATGCAAAAGAAAAATAGCTAATTGGATTATATAATCTGCATACATAAAGGATTTGCATTGAACTAAATCACAGAGACAGTTCTGGTGAATTCGTATTCAATATTGTCTTCACTTTATTACTCAAGAATATTTCTGAGCTGGATAGTGTGCCAGAACCCCTGTCAGTTTTGTCAGTGAAAAGAGATGAGAGAAAATGTAATTCTGCAGGCAATGTAATAAATAAATATATACTTTTAAAGAAAAAGGACAAAGAAAATGTAAATTTGGTCTGTCTTCTTACCTATAAGGAAGGTAGGCACAGGAGTAAATTATTTTTTATGTAACATTTATTTCTAAAGGTTTACGAGATACGATTTTAAAATGGGTATATTTTATGGTTTTTATTTTAATTGATACAAACATAGCCAAATACCTATGTGTACAAATTATTTGGCCAGTATCCACTCACTTCATACCTTTAAGAAAGAGAATATAAGGTCATTTGCAATAATAATAATTAACTAGTCAATAACGTAAAACAAGCTAAAATAACGTTTAAAGAATGTTGACCTGAAAAAGTGTAATGATTCTCAGTGTAGGCGTTCCTATGTGGAACAAATTAATGTGTGATTTACAATACAGTTTAAAAGTACACACACTGCACACAGTTCTTTAAAAAAGTAATAAGATGAATCATCCACTTTCTCAACAACCAGATTGCTTGTATGGTGTCCTCCTCTGGGACACCTCACCATGGGTTATCTGGGCAGCTTCTTAACGCTTGCCTCGGGAGTATTCATGCGAGGAGAATCATGCTCATTTCTTCACTTCAGAGCCTGATGTTTCATGAAATGGAGTTTTCTGAATTAGACGTGAAAGTGGAGTTACAGACCGCTTGGTTAAAAAGCAACAACAATAACAAACATTTCATTAACATCCAGGACTGAAGGCCATTGATCAAAACTGTCAAGTTTCAGTAGATTTTCCTGCTTGGTTATACAGCAGCCTGACTCAGAGATACTTACTTTATTTTATTTTATTTTTTTGCGGTACGCGGTCCTCTCACTGTTGTGGCCTCTCCCGTTGCGGAGCACAGGCTCTGGATGCGCAGGCTCAGCGGCCATGGCTCACGGGCCCAGCTGCTCCGCGGCATGTGGGATCTTCCCGGACCGGGGCACGAACCCGTGTCCCCTGCATTGGCAGGGGGACTCTCAACCACTGCGCCACCAGGGAAGCCCAGAGATACTTATTTTAAATAAAGAGTCTTAAGATTGTGTGCTGGCTGTTTCTTTGCTTTTTTGGTGGGGGGGTGTGGAAGGGGGTAGATGGGAGACTTGGTAGTTTTGAAGACTCTGCTTTGATCCAGGGTGTATAGTCCCTTGCTCTAGACCTCGCCTGCAGCGAGGGTTCTGCTTCAGCTGTCTTGAAGTGAGATCTGCAGCTTCCTCTGTTACAAAGTTAGTGCATGTGAATTCGTCCTTCGAAATACTTCCAAATGTCCTTTGCTATGTTTTTGCCTTGAAAAGAGGTTTTCCAGCTAAAAATTCAGAGTGCAGAACCTCAAGGTTCCAGAGATCCCCTTCTCACCATGTTTTTAATCTTCAGTCATCTGAGGAAGCAGGAGGTCAAATATGTCTCTGTGAGTGCTGGCCACCCAGAATCAGCAGTCATAGGCCCTCTGGCTGCTTCACGTAGCTAGTTCTTTGCTTGATATTCCTCCCACTCACTTTTTGAGAAGTGACTGACGGGCATCTGCCAATTCTGTCATATAAGTGGCAACTCTGCCCACTCAACTTGGAAAGTTCCTGAAACTTCTCCATGGACCGCTCCATCATGGTAGTAGCCACATCATCAGACTGAGGATACCCAAGGTAAGTTTGTATTTCAGTTTGTCTCAGATGTTGCTCAACTATGCTTTCTCTCACTCAGTCCTAACTGGCGCTTAAAGGGCCAGGATGAGGTTGCTTTGTTTCTCTCAGGCAGAGTGAAAATTTCCAGACCTCCCTTTGCCCAAGGTTGACTGATTTAGAAGTTGCATGCATGCATTGTCTTATTTTGGTTCTTTCTTTCTTGTCCCGATGTCTCGTCCTTTGCAGGATTAATTGCAGAGTCTGAGACTGCTCATTGATTGGGGTGTTATTCCGTGGTCTAGACATGGATGAGTTATAGGTACATCTGCAGTTCCTTTAGCTTTTGATTCTGAGCTGGTGTTTGGCTGCAGACAGGCTTCTGTGCTTATGAAGTAAAATAGTGGGAAGAATGTGAAGGGCACAGACTGATTGAGCCTGGTAACCAATTCTGAGGAGGAAACTGCAGAGTCACCAGAATACCTTTTGGACAACCCCCAAATGGAGCATCTTGATAGATGGCAAATCCAGTTTTCCTTAGGCTCGTCGGTGCTGTCCAGAGCCTGCTGCCTTTTGTCAGACGAATACTTCACTGCTGCAGAGTCACCCCGGAATCTCCTTCCCTGGCTGTTTGATGGAAGGAAAATCCTTTCTGTCCTTGAGGGCAGGGACTATATTTTACACTTTTCTATGTACCCTGCAATACTGAACAATGATTTACACATAGTAGGAGTTCGTTTAATTCCACCGAACTCACTGGAACAGAAGGCCATCTGGTCCAGGGAGCTGCGTTTGTGAAGGACAACAGAGTCATTTCCTGAGGTGATGTATGTGAAAGGGCCCCAAAATACAAAGTGATAGAAAAAGAATAATAAACTGCTGGTCACAATCCCTTGAGCACACCACCTGTGTTCTTTTTGCTGTGCCTTGTCCACACCAATTTGTCCTCCACTCACGTGCTATCCAGCATTTCTCCCTGGGAACCTCATCCAACCCAGGGCATTGTGGTCCCTCCCTTGGTCCCTGACCCTTTCTGGTTGATGTCTACTCACTTGACAGCATATGCGACTGTGGCTTACTTGTCATTTCTTTAGATCTTACTTCCGCAAGTAGATGGAGCCCTGTGATGGCAATCCCAGCCCCAGGGTGTGGCCGATGGTGTCCTTAGTGATTGGCTGTTGAGGATGATGAAGATGAGGGGTGTAGCAGACAGTCACCTGCTGCAGTGAATTCTCCCCAGCCTATCATTTAATGTATTTTCTTTTTTCTGTCTAGTTCAGCCTCGTTCCTCATAGTAGGTGCTCAGTTAATGTCAGTTCCTGTCACTCCTTTTCATCTTCCCTGCACTACTGTCTGGGCC